GACACTTGAGAAAAAATTTCAAAAACGAAATGACAAAAGGCAAACAAGCATACAAGGAATTGAAAGCCGATCAGGACAGCAAAAAACTTTTCATTCATAGTGAGTTCATTACAATTGGGGGCACTTCGGCCGTTACATCATTTGGCAAAAAAATTGAAAAGCTAATTACAACAGGGAATAGCCGATCAAGCCTCCGGGACACCTTCATCCGTGGCTGGCTCTTCAACCTCGTCGGCTCCCTCCTCGGCGGCGGCCGCAGCGCTAGTGGCATCATCCAGGAAGTCAAATTCAGTGTAGTCCGGCTCGCCGAGGCCGGAGCTTTCAATAGGAGACTCACGCTCCGACAGAGGAAGATTGGCCTGCTCTTCTGGATCCTTCATCAGCTTTGGCAGCCTCAGGTTCCGTCTGGCCCACCCGGACGTGTAGTTCATGGCCTTCAGAGCACGGGAAAGCCGCCGACACAGGAGCCTCTGCATCCGCTGCTGGCCCATGTTGTAATAGACGGCCATCTCCCTGCCGAAGTACTCCTGGCCGGCGGGGGAGTTCATCCCCCAATCTTCAAGCCTGGCGGCAACCACTTCGTAGCACCAGGGGAGCCTCTCATCGGCCTTCCACCCCTCGGCCAGGAACCGCTCAACGGCCTCATCAGCAGCCCTCACAACGGCGGCCTCGGCCTCAGTTTTCGCCTTAACGGCCTCCTCGTTCCTGCGCCGCTCGGCCTCCAGCGCCTTTTGGGTCTCCTCGAGCCCCCTTTTGCTCTCCTCGAGCTTGGCCAGGGCATCGTCCCTGGCTGCGGCGGCTTCATCAGCCCTTGCCTGCAACGCCTTGGCATCCTCCCGGAGCCGATCAAGGCAAGCTACCGCCTCGTCGGCCGAGGCAGCCTTCTACTCCAGCTCTTTCAAGCGAGCTATCTCCCAATACTGCCTCTTATGGCTTTCCATAAGCATAAAGGCACTCTGCAGAAGGAAAACAAAGGTCAGGCAAAAGACTCTACACAGACGAAGAGAGAGACAAAAACATAAGGACAGTAACTTACTTGGACGAAGAGGTCCATGCCGCCCTCGTAGATCTTCTCGTCCCCAAGCTTCTTCAAGTAAGCCTGATCTTTGGCCGGCATGGCCTGGGCCAGGACGACGTGGCCAGGGACGAGATCATTAAACACGCCCCCGCCGACGGGGTATTCTACCACCTTCTGGTAGGTGGCACCGGCAATCTCCTTGTCGGCCCTCTTCGTCCGCGGCTCCTGGACGAGAGGCAGTGATGGAACAGCATTGTCAGCAGCAGTAAGGTCCACGACGGGGCCACCATCGCCCACGCTGGGGACAGTCAGAGAACCGGCCTCAGTAGCCGGAGAAGGGGAAGGAGCCCTCTTCGTCTTCTTCGAGGCGCTCAGGCCGGCCTCAGTTAACTTTTTCTGGCCGTCAGTAGCCGGCCTTTTCTTCTTCGGAGCAGGCTTTGGGGCCGCATCAGCAGTAGCCCCGCTCCCACCGGCCGCGGCACGTCTGGCCGCCTCGGCCGCCTTAGCAGCCAGCTCCTCGGCCGCCTTGGCCTTAGCAATCGCCATTATGGAACGGCGATCCATGACGAAATCTACAAAGGAAAAATACCAGATTAGTAAGGCAAAAGAACAAAGCATAAAGACAGAAAGCCGAAAAGGTAATTACCATCGGCCTCAGCAGGAATGCCCAAATCCGGGCCGTCGGCCTCTTCGAAAGTGGTAGTCATCCTCGGCCAGATTTGGAGATCATCCTCCTTATCACCATATACATAGTATCTACAGAAGCCGAGGGCGGCCATCTTATATTCCGTGATGTAGTCCTTCACGCTCCTCGGCCCCCCTTCCAAGAAAGCCTCCACCTGAGCGTCCAAAATAGAGCTCTTCGGCGGGTCGTGCAGGTTAAACCTCCCGGTGTGGCCGAGGGAGGGAAACTCGGTGCCACTCTCACCAATGGACACAAACACGAACTTGCTCTTCCACCCATGAATGGACGTAGGCAAATCCGTGAAGCTCCTCTTCTTCGGCAGCTGCTGAAGAGTAGCGTAGGCCGCACAGTTCTTGTGGCTTCCTCGGCCGATCTGGTACAGATTCATGAATAATGCCGTTGTCGGCTTGTAGCCCAACTCCTCACACCGGAGCAAGAACCCTACCATCAAGGAGTAGCTGTTCGGCGTCAGCAAGGCCGGAGGAAGCCCGACCATGTCCAGGTACTCAGTAATGAAAGGGTGAAGGGGGAATCTCAACCCCTTAGCAAAACTCATCGGGTATACTCCAAAGTATCCCGGTGGTGGCAGAAGAACATGGTCCGTCGGCCTGGGTGCCCTAACCCGCCCGAACGGCCCCACGTACATCTGGGCAACAAGATAGTCGGCCGCACTGCTCTCCGGCTTGATCAAGTAGATGTTGGTGAGATCCAGATAGGAGATGTCGGGTCCACTCTTCGGCCTCCTCACTCTCTTCGGCTTGACGGCTCCCTTAACGGCGGACACCGGCCTCGGGCACGGGATGAAAGCAGAAGTGGACGCCCCGTCCACCACTCGGGACGCACTTACGTCCTCACCCTTTGAAGAGGAGGCGGACTCCTCGTCCTCACCTTCCTCGTCCACCGGCTCTCCGGATTTGTAGGGACTTAAACGCTCTATCTCCTCTTCAAACTCCTCGAGCACCTCGTAGTCAAGCGACCTCGTGGAGGGCTGGTCGTCGTAGGGGTAGTAGTCGTCGTTCAAGCTCTTCATAACTACTACTACAGGCCTAAGGAGACTGACTTAAGATCTAAGGGTGTTCAAAAGCCTAACACTAGATCAACAACCTAGGAAGCAAAGTATGAAAAGTGAGGAAGATCGCGATGAACACTAACCTTGAACAACGAAGAACACGAAGAACAGGCTTGGGAGTTTATCTCTCTAGAAAATCGGCCAGCACTTCGACAAATTCAGAATGCAAATACGTTTTCTCGTCGGAGGGGGAGGGGTATTTATAGAACCCCCAACCCAACGGTCACTACACGTGGCACCCCCCCAATGGCCACACCAACGGCCACCAATGGATGACCACCACGTCACCAACGGGCCAAACTCAATATCAACAGCCCACTGACGAGACGGACTCTACGGCCTACACATGCTCACCGGCTTTACAAATGCCAGCAAGCGCCCACAACGTCCCACTTGCTCGCCAAAGATCACAACGGCCAAACAATAAGGAGACGGCAACGGCCAGGAACGTAACGGCCACAAGATCAAAGGCCCCAAGAGCCCAAAAGCCATCGGCTCCTCGTAATAACCCTTGATGATAACCCTCTACAAGCGATCTGCGCACAAGGGTTCTCCCACAGGGTTACCTTGGCCAGAAAATCGCCATGAGGGTTGGATTCAGGGGGACTACGGTGAGACCGCTTCGGCCGGGGACTCAAGCAACTCCTTCACCCCTCACACTCTTCGGCCTGAAGCAGTGGGGGACTGGGGGACTACACCGGCCTCAACAAAACGAAAGAAAATGCAAACAAGGTAACCACAGAGCATGGCCACATCGGCCACGCATCACACTGCACCTCGTCCGTATGCACGCAACGTCATCTGCAACGGCCAGCGGGTCACCAAAGGCAGGGACACTCATCGTCCTCCGCCAACAATTAATCTTGACGGGCTCTTCGGCCAAGAACACGAAGGCCAACCAGCAACGGCCAAAAGGAGTGCGCAAACACCCTCATCGGCCACCAAAAAGAAGGACACTCATCGTCCCAAAACGAAGACTTCAGGTAAACAACGGCCTCCCTGCCCACAACGAGGAACAGGTAACGGCCAAGGGCAGCAAAGCACAGGAATCTACTCTCCTTCACTTCGTCCACGTCTCAGCTTAGAGAGTGGGGGACTCCTGATGGAGTATATGGGTCTGAGCCCCCGGACCCACATACTCGGAAGCACAGAAAGCACAAGGCACAGAGTGGCGCCCTCATCGGCCAGGACGCCATTGTCGGCCGAAAAGAGGCCAACTCGGATTATGGTCCTGAGTCCAAGGAACCCGGGTGCCCTCGTCGGCCGTGCCCTCGTCGGCCACGAAGACCTCACAGAATCGGATTTTATACTTACTCATTTGTACAGCCCAGTAGTGGCTTTGTATTCGGCCCAGTAGCGGTCCAGTTGTAAATGGGCCTCCCAAGTCCAAGGCTTGGGAGCCCAACCCTAATTTTCTCTATAAATACTCCCCTTGGGAGTAGTTATAGAGGTTACGAAATCATTCTATTGAAGCATATTATTGCACTTCTCTCTCTAGCTCTCACTTCTCTCTAGATATACTCTATCAGTATGTATACACAAGCAGCTCGTTCAAACGCTCATGTGTGCATAGGCAACTTGGGGAGTGTATACAATAAATTTTTACAAACTATGTGTATAAGTGCATGGAGGTCTCGGTTTCAAACAATATAAAATTTAACAACAAAATACAAATATACTAGATAGTTCAGTGAAACATAGGTTTTAAAATGTTGAAATGTTGAAAATACACAAATTAGACAATTTGAAAGTTAAACATTTTTCTGAATTTGAATAATACATAACATCTAGAAAATCAAATCAACATACAACCAGTACAGTACGACATACTATGATACTAGTTCTTTTGGTGCGTCACATAGAAGTTAGTTCTCTGGTGCCAGGCACCTCTTGCACATATCAGCTCCTATATTATACACTTTGGTGTATGGGTGAGAACCGTACATCAAGGTTTATTTGTAAATATGTTTAAGTTTCTCTTCTGTCGGTCACTCGGTCGGTTCCTTTGTTTCTTTTGTTCTGAAGGGTCTCTTCCATACTGCATACATCTTCTTTTTCCATTTAATTATGCTTTGCTTCCGTTTTTTCTTTTCTTTTGATTTGGAACTTTAATTTTTTATGCTTTAGTTGCTTCCGTTTTTTCTTCTAGTTTTTTCTTTTCTCTTTTGATTTTGATTTTTTTTCTTTTGATTTGGAACTTTAATTTTCTAACTTCAACTTCCTTTTAGAAAGTGGGGGCGGACTCGGAATCGAATATTACAAAGGACGCAAGAGAAAAGAATAAGGATGAAGCATTAGGAGAACAGAAGCGCAGGATGCTCTGGGAGACACAGGGAATGAGATGCAAGAGAAGGAAAGTATGGCACTGAATGGGGCAAAAAACGGGGAGGAGGCGGGCTTCGAGCAGTAAGCCCGCCTGAAAATGTGCAATGCCAGAAGAAAGGATTCTTGATGAAGATGCAGTGCATGCAGATCGGGAGGAAGTTTATCTTGTGTTATTTTAGCTTTTATTACTTCTCAGACTTTTCAGTATGTTTTTTATTTGGTGTAGTTGTTGTTTTTCATGGTTGTAAGACATTAGATTTGGATGTGGGTGACTTTGGAATTGGGGTAACCGTTTATGGCTTATTTGTGCCCATTAATGAATCAGCGAGTTATATTGCTTCTGGTGAGGTGATTAACTCTGAGTCTGGTTCGCGGGACAGCGGTTGTCAGGATTCTATTTGTCGGATTACCCATAATCTGAATGTTGGGATTTCAATTTAAGCCAGATTCTTCCAAAAAAAAACTTCAACTTCCTTTTTTTTTGCTTCCTTTTTCATTTTCATTTTTATATATACTTTATGTCTTCTGCTCCTCTAATCTTGGATTCCTACTTCTTTTAAATTTGTAAGTAATTATTTATAAGAATTTTTTTCATGCAATTCTTTCAAAAATTCATATCGAATGGCAATTCAATAAAAACATATACTTCTCTCAGTCTTATTTTAACAGCTTCAACCTTCTAAATAATTATGAGCATGTGATTTAAATTAAATGTGCATTGATGTAATTTTAAAGAATAAGCCCAATAAAATTGGTTGGTCTAACATAAAGAATCAGTTCTTTTTTATAATCTATTGATATAAGCATACTGCATACACAAATTGATATTTAAGCATACTCGATATTTTAAATGAGTTTTTTAAATTTTTCGATACTCATTTCGTAAATTATCTATGCTCATTTTATATTGGTGTAATGCTCATTTTAAAATGAGCATTACATTAGACAACTTAAATGTCATATTCATGCATATTGGTGTAATGCTCATTTTGAACTTCTTGATACTCATTTCACATGCTATGCATTCACATTTAATATTCACAACTTAAAATGATGCACATTGAACTTAAGCATACTCATTTAACACGACTCCTGCTAAATGAGCAATAGTCTACTTGTAGTGAGCATATGATCTATTGTATTGAGTATTAGGAGGCTAACAATGAGTATCATGATCTATGTTTCATATCTTCTAATTCTTTTTTTCTTTTATAAAAACTTATTAAATTATATCTATAATACACTCCTATTAATTTCAACTAGATTTTCACCCGTGCGATGCACGGATAGAAATTTAGTCCAATTCACGTGCAGAAATATGTTACAGAAATAAAGTATAAGATTATAAAGTCGCAAAAAATCAAATTTAATAAAAGCTGGATCATGATCATCATTACTCCAGTGCCGCAAAAGCTCCCACTTACGGTGGTGTAACGGGGTCGGATGTACGCAATCTTACCCATGTACTAAAGAATAGAGAGATTTCTACTTGCTTTTGTAAATATTGAGATGATTTCTTATTCAATCTTTGCACCCTTCAATGCTCAATGTCTCAATGGCAATATACTTATGCTAATCTGACACTTATTTGCACTATTACCAATCCATCTTGCAAAAGGCATTCAAGGCAAGCATTGCACTTGTTGGCAACCTATTGCAGCTTAGTCATGTGTTATGCCTGCTTCGATGCCCATGACATTATGTTTTTCATGCGAAGTTACCTCCACAAATTCAGATTTTTTCAACAAAATACTGTGTACTCTACATTTCTGCTGGCCGCCTTCTCCTCCTTGGAACTACCGTTATTCCCTTGCTTTGCTCGTTTTCTGCTCTGCTACATTAATGCTGGCCGCCTTCTCCTCCGCTGGCCAACTATCTGTCGGCAGTTGTCACGGTTGGACTACCCTGCCGATTGCAGATGAAATGTTGTAGAATTTGATCCTGAAAGCTTATTGTCACTTGATAAATCTCTTTTCAATTTGCTGAGATGTTGTCTTGGTCAGTTTGCAAACATGCCTCCAAATCATGCCTAAATTAGAAATAAATAGATAAAAAAGAGTATATACATTTTAATAGAACCTATCATCCTGAGAAGCAGCATAAACTATCTAGCTATACTGACATAATTTATCATCTCTAAAGAAGTTACATAGGTAAATGGTAGAAGCCAAAAGAGTACTCTACTTTCAAATAAAATGACACTTTTTATATACAAAGGTAATTCTACAAAAATATACGCATTGAAATATATAATTGAGATTAACTCTTGGTAAAAAAGATCAACATTAACATTACTGGTTTGTTTCCTACTGCGCTGCACCATAAAGAATCACTTTAATTATAATAACCTACTGCAGTGTCTAACATATTTCATCAATAACTGAACATGGATCATTATTAAAAAAAAGTAAAGATCATTACTGGTTTTTTTATGAAATAAGAAATGTCTTCTATCTCCGGTTTCAAGGTCTTTCTCAAATAAATACACATGTGATTGAGATGATAACACTTGAGAATCATTACATAGCCAGTAAGACGTCTAAATCATCCAGCTATCTTGCATTACATTATGCAAATAAGGAAAGTAAGTAGAAAAACCCTAAAGAATACTTTGATAAGTTCATAAAAGATTTAATAAAGTCTTGATTAAGAGGGCAGTGTTTTCCATTGCTTTTTAAAAGCACTTATCAGCTTTTCAATTAAAAAAAGCTACAAAGTGTGTTTGCAAAGATAAAATTCTGCTTATTTGGAAGTGATTTTGAGCTAAATATTTCAAACTTTATGGATATTTATTAGATTGAATATTTCTATTAAACCCAAATTACCCTCCCTTCCTTCCTCCCAACTCCATCCTCCATGCCCTGTCAGCTTCTTCATTTCCCAAACCTCACCGGCCATGTATTACGGATTAATTATATTAAGCCTTATTGTATTTATTTAGTGTACTGGGCCTCGCCTGCTTGTATAGGTTTTTGTATAGTTTTACCTAGACCAGAACTCTTGTATTATATATACTTCTTAATCATTAATAATAATCATCAATTCTCATTCTAATATGGTATCTAGAGCCAAACTCTTGAGAGCAATTTTTTTCGGTCGTTCCTATCTCGATCGCCGCACCCCTACCCTTTAGGGTTTTCCAGCCGCCGACGTTCGCTGCTTCATCTACCGTCACCCATGGCTCCTATGCCGGAATCCACCGTGATTAGTATCATGGCTTCTACTCACTTCCCTATTAAACTGACTTCCTCCAACTATCCTGTTTGAAAATCTCAGGTTTTGCTGCTCTCATTGGACTTGGCCTGGAAGATTACGTTGACGGCACGCTCACTCCACCCAACCGCCATCTCGATGTTGGCAAATCTACTCCAAACCCGGTATATCAAATATGGTACCTGTTGGTGATTTTAGTATCACCAGGTTCATTTTAGTGTAATGGAATTTACAGATTACCAATGGAGTTCAAGTTTAATTTTAGACAAGTTAGGAGGTGCGGAGCGCACACTTGTACGAAATTAAATTTAAACTTGGTTCGATTAAATGGCGGGGGTCAAGGGGGCTGCGCCCCCTTGCGGGGTCCAAGGGGCAGCGCCCCTGGCGGGGGTCTCGCTGCCCGGTCAGCGAGCGGGGTCTCGCCGCCCCAGGCAGCGCCCCTGGCGGGGTCCAAGGACCAAAATTTTATTTTATTAAAGAAATAAATATGGAAATTTATTTTCGGATAAACATGTCCATATTAATTATTTAATAGAATGACTTTCTGTTAGAGTAAAACTCTAACCGATTGGCCTTATCTCTTTGGTAATCAGAAGAATTCGAGTTCTACTAAAACTGCTAGTTCGTGGTCTATATATTGGTGCCTCAGTTTTAGACTGTCTCTCAGAGTGATTATCCCCATAATCTAAATTTCGTGTAACCCAGGCATAGGGTCGAAATATTAGATTCGGAAAGTGATCACACGATACTCTGAGAAATCCGCCAGATTTTCTAAAACAGTTTCCCAACTCCCCAGATTTAACAGTACCGACAAGACAAGACTATTCTCAGTGCTCTTTTGGGAAGTTGTTCTGACATTATTCAGCCGATTATCTCTTCGGCCAGCACAACTAAAGAGGCGTGGGATCGTCTCTCTCAAACATATGCGGGTCTGTCTCGTGACCGTATTATGTCACTCAAATCTACGTTTGCTAAAACAGTTAAAGGCACCAAATCCATCACTGAATACCTTGCGGAGATGCAAGGCCTTGCTGAAGCCTTAGCTCTCTCTAAAAACCCCATCCCGGAAGAAGATCTTTTCATTGGCATCCTCAATGGCCTTGGTCCTGAGTATTCGGAGATTATATCCGCGGTTCGTGTTCGTGAGACAGCCTTGCCTTTAACTGCTCTTCAAGATATTCTTCTTGAACACGAAGTCAAACATGCTGCGCTGACTTCCACGCTGCTACTGCCCACGGCGAATTACACCTCCGGCCAGCGAGGTCCCAGGGAGGCGGCTCATGGCCAGCGCGACGCTGATCAGCAGGTTGATCGTCGAGGTGGTTACTCCGGACACAGAGGGCGCGGTCGCGGCTCGTACGCTGCAGGTGGTGGCCGTGGGTCATCCAGGCAGCTCCAGTTCCATTTTTGTGAGAACATTGGACATGATGTCAAGAACCGTCGTAAGCTACAGCGGTTTCTTCGGAATCACAATGTCATTCTGCAACCCGGACCTCATGCTAACTATGTCTCGACTCCCTCTACTATGTCACATCAGCCCTGGCTTTTTGATAGTGGTGCCTCTCACTGGTTACATCTGATGTGTCTCAGTTGCCCACTTATTCTGAGTATGGCGGTCCAGAAGAGGTTAAGTTAGGGGATGGTAAGTCACTTAATATTACTCATAAAGGTACCACTATTTTATCTGCCCCTACCCGTACCCTATCTATGTCTAATGTTTTATGTGTTCCCAAATTACAAAAGAACCTTGTCTCTATTGCCAAGCTTTGCAAAACTAACAATGTGTCTATTGAATTTTTCCCTGATTTTTTTATTGTGAAGGATCGCATCACGGGGGAGCCACTGCTGCGCGGGGAGAATCAGCATGATGTCTACTATCCAACGGTGTCCTACTCTCCTCACATCCATGTTACCGAGTCCAACTGACACCACACTCTTGGTCATCCTTCGCGTCATATTTTACAATCTTTATCTTCTGTTTCCAACATTAAGTCTTCCACTAGTTCTCATTGTATGTCTTGTTCCATTAATAAAAGTCATAAACTTCCTTTCTTTATTAATATGATGTCAGCTAATAAACCATTAGAATTAATTTATTCTGATGTATGGAGTTCCAGTGTTCCCTCGATTGATGGTTATTCTTATTATGTTATCTTTGTAAATCATTTTACTCGCTATACATGGCTCTATCCCTTACAACGAAAATCTGACGTTGCTACTATTTTTCCTCAGTTTCATCGTCTTGTAGAATTTTTTCTAATTATCAAATAATTAAATTTTTTCTGACAATGGCGGTGAATTTATTAAATTACAT